AGAAAAGCTGTGAATCACTTCACTGCTTGTGTCCTCCTCCTCTGATGACCGCTTTCCCTTCCCCCCAAATATTTGTATAACTGTGCTTACCACATGCTCAGCTTGAGGAGACCGATTGCCTGCCTGACGGTGGGTAGAAAACCCCTACCATATACATCAGCTTGGAGAGCACCTAGTCATGTCATAGCCTTCTGTGGTTGTAAGGTGTGTCTGACCTGGTCCCCCAGCCCAGAGGTGCAAGCTTTGTGGACCAGAGGCTGCCGTAGGTATCCTGAGACAATGTGTGTCCGTGCAAATGAGTGGGGACATTTTCCTCAGCCTGGGATTTAGTGCAAAGGGACTGTGATGCTGGAAGATGGTCTGTGAAGTGAGGTGCTTAGCAAGTGTATGGACTTGCTGTGGACACCTAGCGTCTTTCCCAGCCTCTCCACCCTAAGAGGCATGTTATGTTCCCCATGTCCTGGCCAGGCTTCAGTGTGCAGCATCAGGTGTTGAACCTCCCGGAGCTCCTCCAGCAGATGTGGCGGGATGCCCTCAGCGGTCATGGAGAGCATGTCTCCATGCCATCGGAGAGTTGATGTCTTCTGTCCCGGCGCTGCCTGCAGGGCCCCTGCCCGAGCACCACTGGAGAGTTCAATGCCTGCACACATTCTTCACACAGGTTGCATGGCTTCACAGGGGCTGGGAGACCAGGTTAGCTTAAAAAAAATAGGAGGGTTGTAACCATGACTTGTTGCCGGTGTAAATTGAAAGCCTTAATAGTGTATGTAGGGCCAATTACAGTACATCAAGGTATAATATCCTCTTTACTGGCACCCTCCAGGGAGCCAGGAGACATTGTGGCAACAGGATTATGGTTTGCAGATGATATGCACGATAACTTCACCTAGACACATGCACCTGTTTCCCTCACTAAGCAGATGTTCGGGAGGCTGTTAAGAGAACATCAGCTTCTTGACAGCGCAGCAGAAAATGCCATGTAACCATGCCTGTTCACATCGCTGCGCCCACCGCCTCCGCTGCTTGACAGAGGGTTGGAGCACCGAAACCCCAGCCCCTGGGGCAGACTGGATCAATTCAGCATTTGAAAGCCGAGCCCTTTCGTGGCTCTCTGCCCAGGCAAATCACCAAGCCGGGAAAGGGAGTTTCCCCCATGTCAGGAGGGCGAGGTTTGGCTGGCTCAGTGCCTGGGGTGTCAGTCTTCTTGCAATCTCAGTCATGCACAAGCAGCTACAATCATTTCCGTGTCATGCAGGCATCTTTAAACATGACCTGGCAAGCTGCACGGGGCATAGCGAGACCCGGTTCGCACTGGAGCAGACTTACCACCAGGTTGGAAAGAGGTGGACTCCCTGGCGTTGCATTGTACTGTTACCATCACCATCACCCTGGACCCCTAACTTCAGGATTTTTTGTTTGTTTTAAATCATTGTTCCTGAATGCAAGATGACCCTTTTGGATTAGTTTGCATATCTGTGAATGGTGGCTGGTGGTTCTCCCTCCTCTCTTCCTGTGGGAGAGCAGAAGTGCGAGCAGCCCCACAAAGCTTCCCGTGTCTTAACCAGAGTGTGGGCAGAGGATCTCTGCCCTGCATAAGCAAGCAAACCAGCCTGCAGCCCAAAGGTGAAGCTGCCCCAAGGTAACCTGTGTGCCACAGTGTTTCCAACTCGGCAGTTTTCAGCCTGTGGTCTGTAAAAGCTGTGAATTATTTCTATAGGATCTGAAAAAGGTAATGAAGAAAAGGTAGGTGCGCATTTACTATGCAGGAGCCGGTGCCTGGACGGGGAAGCATTTGGTGTTCACAGATTGGAAAAGACTGAGAATGTCCTCTCTAATTCTGTGGGAGGGAAACAAAACCTGCACTTTCATCTTCCGTGGTGTGTCTCCGTTAGGAAAATAAGTCATTTTAGATGAGAAGTGCATTGGCAGGGGTGTCATTATGTATCACCGATACCTCTAATCTAGACGAAACTGCACATGGTGTTACAAACCTGTGTGAGCATGTGCAGCCTAGCAAAGGGAAGACCTGTAATTCCCTGCCAGGGCCTGCTGCTCCCACTGGTATCAGCAGCAGAAGTGATCATCTCATTAAGATTTGGGGGACTCCGTGCACGCGTGGGCAAATTCCTGAACGCTGGCTGCAGCGGCTGCCAGGGAGGGCTTGGAGGGCTGGGGTGTGCATGTGGAATTTAAGATCTTATTTTTGCTGGAGTTAATAAGATTTCTTCCCCATCACCCTCACCCCCACAAAAGAAGACATCTTCCCAAGTGTCGAATGGAAGCAGGAAGAGCTGCACGGAGGCCATCCAAGAGCCCTTGGATGACCTCAGGGGCCCGTGCTGTTTGTACACAGTGAGAATTGCCGTGATTATGGTCCAGGAACAAGCCCTCACTGCTTCAGTGAAATACATCTGTCACGTGCGAGGTGCAGGTTGGTCGCCCCAAACACCAGGCTTAGAAATACTCCGTGCACGTCCTCCTCATTTTCATCTCCTGAGGTGCTGCGATGTGGGAAGAGCACTGGGAGGGATGCTTCATCTCAGCAGCTCTGGTCTGTGCATACTCTGGCTTGCTCTGTGTGTGTATGTGTTGATATTGAGCAACCCGCCACACGCAGCATGTGTATATACTGCATTTTAATAGATATAGGGCTACTGACTTAACATACATGGTTGCTATAGTAACAGAGGTTTCCTTAGTAACGGTTGCAGAAAATAATCCAGTACCAATTAAAAATAAACTGTTTGGAAAGGGGGCTGGGGGAGAAAGGAAACTGCTGAGAATCACCTTCCCCTTCACTGGTTCATTTCCCAGGGACTCGGAAGATTGACTAATGCTTGAAATAACCTTTCTTAACCAACAGTGAGCCAAAATGGTGGGATGAGTGTGGGTGGGGTGGCTAAGGCTGCCATCCTGAAGTGAAACAAAGGGAAAGGAGTGTGTCTGGGGTACGGCAGAAATACAACAGGGTGATGCTAAATCTCTCCATTAGGTTGAAGTCCCCAGGGAGGAAAATCAAGGGACTATTTCCCTCCTTCCCTTCCTCCACTGTCTGCATGCCATACCCATAACACAGCTATCGAGTCTTTATTAGCATACTGATTAAAGCCACGGGCAATCCAGGCTCCAGGGGAACATCTAATGCATTACCAGGATGCCTATCTCAGATGCTGTGTTAGAGCAGAAAGTGTCGCTGTGGTGGGAGTTCCTCCCTCCCATTTGATGTTGTTTGCCTGTACCCGTGGCCCCATCGCTCATCGCTTGTGCTGACAGGCATCCAAGACCCTGGGGCCCAAGGGAAGCTGGAAGCAAAGCGTGATGCAAAGCGAAGAGCCCGTGCCTTGGTGAGAGAGAGGAGACAACGTTGCTTCCTCGCAAACACAGGATGCGTGGGACGGGTTTCCAGGGTGCGGATGGGCACAGCTCCCCTGGCAGCTTTCAGTTGTTCGTGCCTGCGGTGCCACACTTCTGTCATGCCACTCGTGCTCAGGGTGCTCGCTAGGTTTCTTTCGTTAAGAGATTTACCGGGTGTCAGCAGAATCCCTTCACCCAGCAGCAAGGCAGCATGCCCCCTTTCAGAGGAGAGCTGCCATGGGAGGCAGCAGGAGAGGTTGGGATGGGCTGCGTTGGAGCAGGACTGGGGGTACCCCACCTTCTGCCCCTCGGCTGTTGAAGACCCACTGGTTGTCAGGACACCCTTTATAAGCCATGCCTGAGCAGCGGTGCTCACCATCGCAGGGTGCACCGGGAAGGGGCTCTGCTTGGAGGGGTGCTGAGGGGACCTGCTGCCTGCTGAACCCCCTCGTATGCTGTCCCCATTCCTGGGAACCTCCCCCGCCTTTTCCTGACTATGCTCCGATGTCCTGGGTAATGTGTTGTGCTTCACACTCAGCCTAGGGCTCATCCCTTTGGGTTGTCAGATCTGGGCATCCTGCATCCTCGCGTTGGAGAGGAGGTGCTGGTTGTGCAGGAGAGGCGAAGGAGGGGAGATGGTGGCAGAGCTGCTGGGAGGAGTGGTGTGTCTGGCTGGGAGCTGCTCCTCTCCTTGGGTCTGTAGCCAGCAGGGCTCCAGGGCATGCCAAGCACAAGTGTCACAGGAGGGCCCTTCGTGTCCTCCCCTGCAGACAGAAATGCCCTGGGTCAAGGCTCGGGTGACAGGCAGAGCCTGAGCACACGCAGTGGGGGCTTTATCTCCTGCTCCTTCAGGGAGAGAGGAACTGGAAACTGGTGTGTCTCTCTCCTTGCAGGGACAAGAGCTAATGACACCACCGTGTCATCCTTGACGCTGTGTGACCACTTAACTACCCACGTGGGAACTGCAGTTGCACTTGGGAAGCCGAGGGAGGTGACATGCCTGTGGCTTGTCCCAGGCTGTGCGGTCCATGGTGGACCTGGAGCCAGATCTGGCTGCTGGAGCAGAGCTTGCTCCCTGCTGATCCTTTCCAGTCTGGTGCTCTTTCTGCTTTTCCAGTCGTGCCTGTGTTTGCTCCCGTAGCTATTGCGTGTCTGTGGGTTATGTGTCACTGAGATGGCTCAGTAGTGACATGTGACAGCAGTAGTTTTGTTTAATTCACTTTTCCTGGAAATGGTTTCCTCTGGAACTGGTCAACAGCTCATTGCCCTGAGGTGCAAGTCGTATGATTTCACCATGAAAAAACCCACTGAGTTTGGGTGTAGTCTTCTTGCTAGATTTGGTGCCTTAGACTGCGGTGAATTAAGAAAGGGAATCTTTTAAAGGACAAACTGTGAAAAAGCAGCCTCTTCCTGAGGGACATGGTGGGAGGATCCAGGAGTAGAGCAGGGGCTGAAAGAAGAGAGAAGATTTGGTAGGAGGACATCTAAACGCCTTTGTCTTAAAGGTCCAGTGCAAGTGGGACCCAGGCAGGAGCAGCCATGCCTGCAGTTGGGGGAGGGCTCTCTGGTCCTCCCCAAACCAGGTGAGTTTCTTTTCTATGTTAATGACCCACTTCTCCTCATCCTTCTCCGTTCCTCCCTCACAGTGACCAAGCTGCAGGTGAGCAAGTCGAAGCGGAGCATCACTCTGGTGGAGAACCGGCCCATCCCTCTCAACTGCTCCGTGAAATCCCAGACCAGCCCCGACTCGCACTTCGCCGTGCTGTGGTACGTCCACAAGCCCTCTGACGCTGATGGCAAGCTCATCCTGAAGACCACCCACAGCTCGGCCTTTGAGTATGGCACCTATGCGGAGGAGGAGGGGCTGCGAGGCCGGCTGCAGTTCGAGCGCTCGGCGTCGGGGGGGCTCTTCAGCCTGACAGTGCAGCGGGCGGAGGTCCGAGACAGCGGCAGCTACTACTGCCACGTGGAGGAGTGGCTGCTCAGCCCCAACCACGCCTGGTACAAGCTGGCAGAGGAGGTGTCGGGGCGGACAGAGGTCACTGTCAAGCAGCCAGGTACCATGTGCCGCGCCGGTGGGGTCCTCTTGGCATCGGCTCTTGTGCACCACTCGTGAGCTTGCCGAGCTTTTCTGGGGCAACAGGGATCCTCTGCTTTTCTTTCCACTACAGCCTTGTCACCCTCTCCTTGCAGCCTCATGTCTGCACGTCCCTGCACGAAGAGGGACATTTTACCCCTTTGATGTGACCCTCCTCCATTTAGGCTGGGTTGTCATGCATTTCAGTGTCCCCACATGAAGGTTGTTTGTCCCCCATGATCTAGAGGACCACTGTATCCAGCCAGGTTTCTTTATTCTCAAGAGCATCATGTAGCAAGAGTGTCGACTAGCGACCTGCTGAGAGAGAACTGGTGTGTTGCCTGCCTGGGAAAGCATTTTTATATTTTGCACACAGCTTAATTTTAGTCTGTGCCTGTATCCTGGCAGGCACAGGGAGTCTTGTCTCTTTTCCCTCTGCGCTGTGCACATGAGATGCGAGTAACGAGTTTAATGAGGTGGGGAGCTGGCTGCCAGGAAAGGAGAAATCTGCTCTGCTGGTGGTTTCCGTGGCAGCAGACATGACTGGTAAAGGTGGACTGATGGAGGAGCTAAAGACATCCCCCACGAGCTGGGGACAGAGCCCTCATTTTGTGCAAAGGGGGCAGGCAGGGAGGCAAGCACTACCTCTGAGAGCAGCCTGGACCCCATGTGCTGCTGAGGCAGAGCACCGGTACTTCACAAGGAAGCCTGCTTTGTCCCCGCTTGCTCCAGGTGCCTGTTTCTGCAGGATAAAATCCCTCAGGCAGGAGGGATGTACCTGGCTAGCAGGGCTGGACTAGGATGCTTAATGCGTTTTCTCTGTCTGGATTTGGCTGGCTAGACACAAGCTCTGTGGATAAGGGTGCGAGAGGGATATTGAGTATGGTCCTCGGCGCAGCTTTGCCTGGTCACGCAGGGAGCGCAGCAGGCTAGAGCGTGCCGCTCACTGCCGGTCCCAGCTCCTCGTTTCTGTCTGCGAGGTCCTGAGATGGCTGTGGGGGGGTCAGGGAGGGGGGAGCTGTGATCTGCCCCCTCCTTTGCATCGCCCACCTCTCTCTGGGAAGTACTGTGCCTGTCACTTGCTGCAGCGGCCGTACCAGGGAAGTCCAGACTGTGCCCCTGGAAAGAAATCGTGAAGGAGTTAGGATTGTACGACACGTCATTTCACATCAAAAAGCTGATTGCAGTCACCGCCCCGTATTAATGAAATTGTGGAGCAAAAACCAGGGACATTCCCAAGGCAGCAAAACACTGTGTGTGACTTTGCCCTCGTGACACTTCCCGTTTTGCAGTGGTGGTTCCCTATAATCAGCCATCCGTTCTCCGCCTTGCTTTTTTCCCTTTTCCCACAGCAGGAGGACTTACTGGTCAGGGTGTGACCAGGCTACTGCCCTGCCCCAGGAGGAGGAGAAAAGATTGAGGTGTGATCTCCCTTCACAAGGTGTCTGTGCACTTATGACCCCCTAGGTCCTACTGGGAGATGTGGGTTTCCAGTTCCCTGTGCTGAATGCAGCATTGTTGGTGGCTAGCCTGAGATTTTCAGAAGACCCTAAAAAACTCAGCTCCTATTTTCTTTTCCTCCTCTTCCCCCCCCCCCCCCCAGTTTTTTTCCCTTCCTTTCCTCATTTCTTTCATCACACCCCAGGATAGTGGCCATGTGGGAAGGGCTTGTGGGGAGACAAAGGACCCTTGCAGCCCTCCGTCACCTTGCATTTCTAATGGCCTTTTCCCACAGATAACCGCCTGCAGGTGAACCAGACCCACAAGAACATCACGGTGCTGGAGAACCAGTGGGTGACCCTGGAGTGCCTGGTCAGCAGCCGAACCAGCCCCTCGTCCCAGCTCTCAGTGGAGTGGTACGTCTGGCGACCGGGACACCTGGAGAAGGAGGCGGTGGCCCGGCTGAGCCGGCAGAGCACCCTCCGCTACGGGGACCAGGCAGCGCTGGGCGACCTGCGGAGCCGGCTGCACCTGGAGAGCCCGTCCCTGGGACTCTACCTCCTCTCCATCCAAAACGCCACCGTGCGGGACAGCGGGGCCTATGACTGCCGCGTGGAGGAGTGGCTTCTCGACCCCAGCGACCGCTGGTACAAGCGGGCAGAGGACCACTCCGGACTCATCACCCTCACTGTCAAGCAGCCAGGTGAGGAGAATCTCATGCCAACAGCTTTGAGCAGTACTCTGCCCTCTTGGACCGAACGCATGAGTCACCATCTGTCTGTCATCGACAGCGGGTCCAGGCAGAGGGCAGGACTGCTGCGCTACAGACCATGCTGATGCTTTCTTGCATGTCTTCTTGGGTGCACCCTTGCTTTTCTAGAAGGAGCATAGAGCAAGTCCTGCAAACACAGCTAGATGGGCTTGGGATTTTGTCACCACTGCATCTGCAGATTTATTTTTTTACAGCACTTTTGGCAGATTCAATAGGATGGGCTTCTGATTTTATTCACATTTTGATTGAGAATGAGATGGGAGAAGCTATCTGTGCTTCCCAGGCATGCGCCCCAGGGGCAAGGTCCTTGCATGAAAAGAGGGCAGCAGAGGAGGTCGAGACCCTTGCTGGTGTCCAGGCAGTTTCTCACGCTGCTGCTCCCTGTTCTGCAGGTGAAGAAGCAGATGCGGGGTGTGCAGCTCCAAGGGTTCATCTGTCAGTTGGGATGATGGCTCAGGCTTCTTGATAGGGCAGGAGTTGGCTATAAGGAGCCTGCTTCTATATGGACAAGGGAGTACTTACAGGCTTCCTGGCCACCCTCTTGCTGGTGATAGTGGTTCAGGCATAACCTGCTGCTTAACACCACCCTTTTGGCCGTGCCCAGACACAGGGAGGCAGGCATCAGGGATTGCTGCAGGTGCTCCTTGTTCTTTTGAGGATCTAGTGGGGAAAAAAGTGCTACAGAAGTTCAATCCGGGGAGGAAACTCCAGTTTCAAAGGGTTGTGACTAGAGTAGAGCAGAGCAGAGTAGAGCAGAGCAGAATAGAATAGAATAGAATATTTCAGTTAGAAGGGACCTACAGTTATCATCTAGTCCAACTGCCTGACCACTTCAGGGCTGACCAAAGGCTAAAGCATGTTATTAAGGGCATTGTCCAAATGCCTCCTAAACACTGACAGGCTTGGGGCATCGACCACCTCTCTAGGAAGCTTGTTCCAGTGTTTGACCACCCTCTCGGTAAAGAAATGCTTCCTAATGTCCAGTCTGAACCTCCCCTGGTGCAGCTTTGAACCATTCCCCTGTGTCCTGTCACTGGATATCAGGGAGAAGAGATCAGCACCTCCCTCTCCACTTCCCCTCCTCAGGAAGCTGTAGAGAGCAGTGAGGTTGCCCCTCAGCCTCCTTTTCTCCAAACTAGACAAGCCCAAATATGTCTACTATGTAGACATAATAATAACTGAAGACAACTGAAGAAACAAAATGCTATTCATGCTGTATGACTTGAAGGGAAGTGCAAATACGTACATCTTCTTGTAGACACTCATATAAGCCAAATTGTTTTTGCAGGGTCATCTTTAATACTTGCTCTTGTAAAACCCTGGGTTTCAAGAAGTCTCAAGATTTCTGTGGTTTAGGTTTCCTCTTGTTCATGATAGTTTACAGTGGTGTTTTGCATGATAGGTGACTGAATTATTGCTTTTCTCTCTGGGTTGGTGTCCTCATTCTGGAGGTAAAGGGGCTGGTTTTGGTTTTAATCAGTAACAGTCTCGCCCTTTTTTCTTGCATATTTTTCAAATTAAGTAAAATATATATGATGCCACATCTTTACACTAAGCACTTCCAAATCTCATTAACTGCAGCTTAATAAATGTTATCCTGCTATTGGTGCTACTTGATTTCAGGGAGGAAAATACTTACATGTTTCTAATGCACACAAATTGCATTTGGATACAACATATGACCCTGCATACTCAGGGTACAGAATAATCGCTAAATAGCTCTTTGCTCTGCTTTTCCCCACCACTGGTGACTGGTTGCCAGATGTAGCCCCATGTAGCTACACCCTTTGAGCCCTGCCCTTCAGCCAGTTCTTCACCCAGCGCACCATGAACCTCCTTGTCTCACATTTGGACATCTTCTCCAGAAAGATGCTGTGAGAGACAGTATCAAAAGCCTTACTAAAATCCAGAAAAACAACATCCACCACCTTACCTACATCCACCACCTTACCTTCATCCACGAGGTGGGTGACCTTATCATAGAAGCATATAAAATTAGTTAGACAGGACTTTCCCTTTGTGAACCTGTGTTGGCTGTGCCTGATGACTGCATTATTCTTTAAATGCCTTTCAATAGTACCCAGTATGATCTTCTCCATAATTTTTCCAGGAACTGAGGTTAGGCTAACAGGTCTGTAGTTCCCCGAGTCTTCCCTCACGCCCTTCTTGTAAATTGGAATAACATTGGCTAGCTTCCAGTCAGCAGGGACCTCCCCTGACTCCCAAGACCTTTGGATGATGATCGAGAGGGTCCTGCCGTAACATCCGCTTGCTCCTTCAGTACTCTGGGATGAATCCCATCAGGCCCCATGGACTTGTGAACATTCAGCTGAGACAGCTGGTCCCTTACAATTTCAGTGTCCACAAATGGAAAGTCACTGTTCCCACACCCGTGGTCCTCCGACTCAGGGGACCGGGCAGCCCAAGGTCTATCATTAGTATTGAAGACTGAGGCAAAAAAAAGCATTGAATGCCTCCACTTTTTCTTCATCCCTATTAGTCAGGTGACCATCCTCAACAAGCATCGGTCCAGAGTTTTCTTTAGAGCTCCTCTTGCTATTAACATACTTTAGAAAGTCCTTCTTGTTAGCTGACACAACACTGGCCAGTTTCAACTCCAATTGAGCTTTGGCCTTATCGTGTCTTCTCCCTGCATATACAAACCACATCTCTGTAGTCTTCCTGCGAAGCCTGACCTTGCTTCCTGGAAGGTCATACAATTTCATCTCTGAAAGGAGGCTCAGGGGAGACCTTATCACACTCTACAACTACCTGAAAGGAGGTTGTAGCAAGGTGGGCATCGGTTTCTTTTCCCAAGTAACCAGTGATAGGACAAGAGGAAATGGGCTCAAGTTGCGCCCGGGGAGGTTTAGATTGGACATGAGGAAAAATTTCTTCACTGAAAGAGTGGTTAAACATTGGAACAGGCTGCCCAGGGAAGTGGTTGAGTCACCATCCCTGAAGGTATTTAAAAGACATGTAGATGAGGCGCTTAGGGACATGGTTTAGTGGGCACGGTGGTGTTGGGTCGATGGTTGGACTTGATGATCTTAGAGGTCTTTCCAACCTTAATGATTCTATGATTCTTCCTCTTGAGCTCCACGAGGAGTTCCCTGTTCAGCCAAGCTGCTCTTCTGTCCCGCTTGCTTGACTTACGACACTGGAATTGCCTGCTCCTGTGCTTCTAAAAGGTGGTTCTTAAAGACTGACCAGCACTTGTGGACTCATAAGCCCTCAAAAGCAGATTCCCAGGGTACTCTGCTAAGTTTTGTCTGTTTTAACAACAGATAAGCTGCAAGAACAATTTACCTTGGAAAATACGGATTCTCTAGTTTTTGAGGCATATGACTCAAGATTAAATGTTTTAAAGGCTGTAGGTCAAACAGTTATGGTCCTCATTTGCTGGGTACTTTCCAGCATGTAAAGCAACCACTCTGCAAGTACTCCTGTGGTGCTTTATGCCTGCCCGTTCCAATGGGGTGTCAGCCTCATAACTCTGCAATGGAGCTGGCAAAAGGGTAGGATTCTGGAAAGGTTTTAGTGGTCATTCCTGGCAGAGAAGATTTGTACTGCGAAGGAGGAGCTCTCTCAGGGGACAGCACAGCCCTTATCCGCCAGGTCCTTGCTTAGGAAACTTTGCTGGCCAAGGTGGCTTGAGCAGAGGCCCCCCCTGCCCCCAGGCAATCCCTGTACCCTGCATGTCCCCACGGTTGTAAGTGCAGCTCTTCATCCAGGCTGAGAATTTGCCAGCCCTGATGGAGGGGGGAATGAACATCAGGAGAAATCCTTGAGGCTTGTTTTGAGTTGCGGAAGGATGTGGAGTGGGAAGAAGAGAGGGAGTTGGGGGTGCACTAATTCGAGATAATTTTTTTCTAAAAGTGCTTTGTTGTTGTTTGTTTTTCCTTCATAGCAGCCAGTACTTAACAAAATGACTAAACTTGCTTGTGACTCATGTCTCATTAGTGAGGATCTCCATGCTCATCTTTTGGGACTATAATCATGAGCAATGGGGGAAAAAAAACTCTCAGCACCTTCAGACAGCAGTTGTCCTCTTTCTGCTTAACCTGCTGAGGTGGGGGAGTCTTTGTGTTGGTTTTGACAAGCCATTTCATTCCCTTCCTCCTTTTTACCTCAGTAGTCCCCAAAATCTCAGGACTTACCTCATTCCTGTTTCTGCTCAGGAGTCTTCCCGGGGAAGATGTTAACTGAAAACACTCGTGTTGCCTACAGCCTGAAGAGCTCTGGCCTTAATGAAGATTTTCCTTATGGGGCCATTTAAAAAGTGTCAGTCAGGTGGTATAATGGGAAGCCCCGCTGGGCACAGCAGCCCCGCAGCTGATGAGAGCTGGGGGATGGCAGCCCCCTCCTGCAGGGACACCCGGGGTCTGTGCAAGGGAGGGCTTGCCCAGCTACCTTCACTGGAGGAGAAAGTGCCTCTCTCTTCAGTGAGCTATCGGCTTGCCCTTCCTGCTCAGCTCCCGCATCGGAAAGGGCTTTTTTATCTTTAAATGAAAGCTTAGATCTGGAGTGATTGCGATCCCTGGAGTATGTGTTCCCTGGCAAGATGACTAAACCAAATGTTAATTGCTCTTGAAGTCAGCCTTTAATCAACTCATCTTGGGTTCTGGCCACTGTATCTCAGTTAGGTAAAAACATCTCTTCAGCCTTGCAGCAAGCACTAGAGGGAAAAAAAGAGAAGGAGACTTTTGGAAGCATCCTTGCTGTGTCTGTGTTGAGGACATCTCCATGGAGGAGCCTCTTACCTAAATAACTTCCCAAATTGCTGGGAAAAAATCCTCCCCTCTTCTGTCATACTGATTTTCAAGTCCTGTGAGCACTCTCAAAGAAATAAAAAATAAGCATGGAGTGCAATGCTCTTTGCACCAGTAGCTGGGGAGTAGTAGTACATTGCTCCTCAGCACACGCACCAAACCTCGGTATTTCCTGACAGGTTCTTGTAGCGTGTCTGGATGAGCTACAGCAGCTCTCTCCTCTCGCGTGCATGCCCATTAGTTGGTGCGAGGGCCTGCATGGGCAGGGTGGTAGTACGGTGCTTGCAGCCAGCTCCAGTTTGACCCTGCACCAGGCAGTGTGGGGTGAAGTGAGGATGCTGCGCCTGCAGGATTGACCACAGAGGTACCTGTGGGACTTGGCAGGCTGTGTCAAGCCTTTGGGTTTTGCTTGGATCGCGCCCAGCACCGGAGTTGTGACAGGCAGTTTGCGGTGGGGCAGGGTGGCTTTGACGATAGCATTTTGCTCAGCGCTCACCTCTCCCCTTTCGTCATCTCAGATCCCACCTTGCAGGTGGACACGGCCACTGCCAACCTCACGGTGCAGGAGAAGGAGTCCTTCCCGCTGGACTGCAGCATCCTGTCCCGCTCCAGCCCAGAGTCCCACTTTGCGGTGACGTGGTACAACCTGCGGGCCAAAGAGGTGGGCGGCCATGCGGAGGAGGAGGAGGAGGAGGAGGAGGAGAGGGAGGCGGTGCTGAGCGTGGGCCCCGATGCCATCTTCAGCCCCGAGGCCAGTCGCTGGGAGGGCCGCCTGCGCTTCCAGAGGCTCTCAGCGGTGCTTTTCCGGCTGACGGTGCTGCAGGCAGGCGGTGCTGACACGGGCAACTACTCGTGCCGCGTGGAGGAGTGGCTGGCAGACCCCAATGGCGTGTGGTACCGGCTGGCGGAGGAGGAGTCGGGGATGGTCGCTGTTCACGTGCAGGATGCAGGTGAGAAGAGGCGAAGAGCCTCGTGGGGGTATGGCCCTGGCATCCCCTGCGTCTGTGGTTCAACCAAGATAAAAAGGCCAAGGAGTGAGTGGGACAGGGTCTCGCCTGCACCAGGGCAAATCTGTGGTGCCGGTGCTTTTCCAATCAGCTCGGTGGCTTGTAGCCCAGCTCTTGGCTTGCACATCTGCGCTGCGCTTAGCTCTGTGCTAGGGCTGCCCATCCCACAGCACTTAGTGCCTGGTGTGTCCCAGATTAGTGGGGGCGGACAATGACCTCCACTGGTGTTTAGCCTTTTCCTTTGAGAAGCATCCTGGAAGTTGGCTTAGCTCTGCACAAGGGCACAGGCTGTGGCACAAGGGTCTCCTCCCAGTAACTCTTGAAGCCATGGGATGGTCTAGAGGCCCCAGAGGTAGCTGAGGTCATGACAGTTTTGTGGGCCCTTAAGGGAGAGACCCTGGGGTGCTGCCTCTGTGTACCACCACTGAGGGAAATGATGCTTTGCAACGCTCCCTGCTTTATAAGATATCAGAAAATCCACACCAGGGAGGACTCTCTCTAGCACTCATGAAACTCTTGGGAATAAAGCCAAAACATGCCCTGCAAAAGCTTTTTTCTGCTGCTCTGTTTACCAGTATTGGTGTTTTTCTCAGAGCCTCACTTCCTGCGTTGACACAGATTAATGAGCATCTGGTTTTTATGTTTCTGAAGAAGTTTGTAGGCCATGCATTGCAGAGAAGCTGTGAAATGTGACCGTCCTGTGTCTCTTTCCAGGCTCCACCCTGCAGTCTGTCATCTGCTCCAACGACGCCCTCTTCTACTTTGTATTCTTCTACCCCTTCCCCATCTTCGGCATCTTGATCATCACCATCCTGCTGGTGCGGTTCAAGAGCCGAAACTCCAGCAAGAACTCTGAGGGCAAGAACGGGGTCCCCTTGCTGTGGATCAAAGAGCCTCACCTCAACTACTCTCCCACTTGCCTAGAGCCACCAGTCCTCAGCATCCACCCAGGAACCATAGACTAAAGAGGCAGAGGCGCCTGGGGGGACGCGCAGAGAGAGAAAGCAGAGACACACTGGGAACGCTAAGGAACAGAGTGTTTTTTGTTGTTCTTGTTTCATTTGTTTCAGTGTCTGTGTTCCGGCGCAGCGGCTGAGCTCTGCGGAGCGCCCAGCCAGCGGGGACAGAAAAGTCCAAGGCTTTCTCCAGCACCTGTGGGAACACACCCCATCACCCCAACAGACGGAGGGTCCCTGTGCGTGCTGTACATAGCGGATGTTCCTCTCGGATTAATTTTGTTCCTGTCAGTTGCTGTCCTTTGGGCCGTTACTTTTTTGTTGTCATTTCTTTTTCAGTCACTCCAAGAACTGTAGGCTTCCCCCACCCTCCACACAGCGAGGAGTTCCCAGGGGGCTTTTGGTCCTGGGACGATCTTTGGAAGTAAATGTATATGTTTTCCAAAACAGACTGTGGTTTTCCTCCTCAGACTCGGTGCCACAGTGAAGAAGGTCTTTTGCCAAGGTGCGCTGAGCTAGCTCCTCCCTCTTCCAAAGCCGACAAAGCCAGGTCCACCTCCGGAGGGGGTTAGCTGGGCTATCAGGAGGTTCATCTCAAAGGCTGGCTATAGCCTCAGCATCTTCTTGCCTTCGTCTTACAGTTCTCTCAGGAGGGGGCAATTCACCTTTTGGGAGCGTTCCCCCCATCTTGGAGAGACTGAATATTCAGCGCGCTTACGGTCAGGACAAAAGCAATTTAGTTTGTCTCCAGGAACTGAAGAGGGGATGGAAGGAGGACACCTGAAAGCCCTGACGTTGTTGGTAGCAAAGAGGGTCCTCGTATGGTCCTCTGGTCCAGCTTACCAGAGTCGTGCTCCTCCCTGGTGTCCATGCTGCCACCTCTGACAAGGCGGGTCCCCTCTGTGCCCCAGTCAGCTGGGGACAGGTGGCTGGATCCAGTCTCTGAAGACTTCAACGTGACCAAAGTAATGACTCTAGAAAGGGGGAAAGGGGAAGCTCCACAAGTCGGGTTCACGGCCCCTGGATGGTTCAGCCAAGGAGCCCAGTTGCAGCCACGCAGCGGGGACGTGCAATTAACCACCTCGTGTCACGAGTTTCCCCACGGCTTGCACTACTTCTGGCGCGAGCTTGGACAAGGCAAGGAGCCTGCACCGCATCGGCGCCCTGGGGGCTTCTCTGTCCCCTTGGGCCAAGAGGAATCTTCCCCTGCATGTGTGCGTGCATCTGCCGTTTTTTGGTTCCTGGGGCTTTAGGAGGGGAAACTATTCCTCCGTAAGCTCCCCTCCTGGCAAAGTCACCTGCTCTTGTCATAGGCAGTCGCTGTGGCAGGAAATGCTGTTCTTTCTGTGAAAGATATGGCTCTCGCAAACCAAACCAGGGCTCTCTCTGTGTGGGGCACCTGCGCTCCAGTACCCCGTAATGCCAAGTATCCCTGCCCTGTCCTGTGGAGGAAACCGCCGCCTCCCCCATACGCCCGAAGCGTTATGTCTGGCGGAAGAAAATGTTTGCCAAAAATGGCCTTTTGTTGTCTTCCTTGATGTCTTCCTGGCATATCCGGCCATTTATTTTTTGCAGCATGGCTGAAGCCAACCGGGGTGGATGGGCACAGCCGCAAGACCCCCCCTGCCTCGTGAGCGAGAGGTGCCATACCCACAGCCACCGTCCTCTTCCGGAGGGTTGGACTGCTCTTTGTGAAGAGAAGGGGACCTCAGCAGATGCTCTGTAGCACTAGTCGGTTAGACCCTGATGCCTTGATGTTTCAGAGGCGGCGAAGCCTCAGGTGGCAGATCTGCACTGCACATCCTCTCTCCTGGCTGGGAGAGGACCCATGTGGCTGCAGACTGTCCCATGCTGGGGCATTCGAAGTCAGCCACCTCTGCTCCTCCACCAGAACGGCATTGGTTTCTTCTTCCGCTGGGAAGCCCAAATTTCACTTGTCCCTCTGCAAAGTCTGCCTCCTCGAGACGTAACTGCTTACTGGCTCCAGCATATGCATAATATGATACTCCTATATATATATGTATGTATCACACACACACACACTTGTCTTCCCTTTCTGGATAAGGCGTCTGCAAAGAGAGGGGTGGGATGACAAGTGAATGGAAAGGAAGAACCGAGGCGCAAACAGCAGCAGCCGCAGCCAGTGGGTATTGTTTCGTAAATGTAGTATCTCCTGTATGTACTGCTCCCGGGCAGGAACTGCAACTCATTTCAGCTTTAAAGGAAAAAAGACAAAATGAAGTCGGTGGGAGCCATTCTTTCCTGGGAGAGAGCACTGTGCTGCATCCAAGCCATGCTCCTCTCTAGCCTGTCTGCCCCGTAGCAGGGCTCTCCTGGAGGGCTGTCCTGTGGCCCCGTCCCCCTGGCCGAAACAGGTCCCTTCCCAGCCCGGCGGTTCCTGCACCGAGCCCAGGCTTTCCCGGGAAGCGGCTCCCACAGTGGTCCCTGAATGTACCTTGTTGGTGACATTTCTCCGTTGCTCTGGCAGTGTGTTGCCCAGTCTCAAACTTCTGTTTTTATAAGGCAGACTTCCTGTAACGAGTTTTAACACGAAGCTTTTCAAACCACTCTCTCTGCTGTAACTTTCTGTAACAAACCTGAGAAGAAAGAGAGATACCCTATCCATGCATGATGTGGAAAAATATTTGGGATTTTTTAAAAAAAAAAAAAAACAACTTTGTACTATGTTGCACTAAAACATGTTTTATACAACACACCTGAGAGCTGTAGTAAACTGTGTTGAAATTGTGATTCCTATTGCTGGTGGTTTTTGTCAGATTTGGGCTTTTGTTATGCCTTTATGCGCACTCCTTCCATAAAGGTGGGCTGAACTCCTAAGCCCGCTCCCCCTTTTAGGCAGCCTCTCCCTCTCCCACCACCCCTATTCCCTGATGCATCAAGTCTCCTCCTGCCTTGGTAGCGTATCTCCTCTCTCTTGCAGGCTGGAGCTTGCAGACACCTTGCACCCTCTGGCTCTTCATACTTCTCCCTTCCATCCTTTAATTCATCCCGTAATAGAATATAACATTTAACAGAGGCATGTCAGGTCTATTTATTGAATGGGATACACCATTTTTTAAATCGCTCTGAAAATAGTTAAGTACTTTGCTGTGTCATAGTCTGGATTTGAAGAAAAAACATATTTTTTATAGAATTGTCCATAGCAAATGTTAAGCAAATCATCTTTAGTGACCTTGATGTAAGCAGAATAATATAGTTCACTACAGAAGTTGCTTAAGTTGATGTAAAATGCAACCTTTTAATTCTCATGACCCACTTTTACCTGGAATAAGGGTTTGGTTAGTAGTCTTGAACTCCCCCATTAACTGAATTTGGGAAGTAGCGTGATACATTCTTACCTGTATAGCAAAAGTGCTGTGAAATTGTGCAAAATGCACTGCCGACGCAGCTGTCAGGTTGGGTTTGGGTTTTTTCATTTAAAACAAAAAAAAAAAATCCTCTGCTAAAATAATTGTATGAGAAAACTCTGCTGTCCCCGGACGCAACTGGCTGTTTGCTCCCCCCACCTCTGGCAGGTTGTCTTGGGCTGTACCTGCTATAATCTCTGTGCTAAGGAGCAGAGGTTTTAGCTTTACACATGCCCAGTGCTAGATGGCAAGTGGTGTCCCCGGCACTCCCCGTCAGCAGTACAGGGCGGCGAGCGTGGGCTAGCCACCATGGGTTTGCTGGGAGGCATCTCTGCGAGCCCATGCACGCTCCCTGTGGCCAGGCCTGCGTCCCTGACCCCCTCCGGCATGCTCATATGGGCAGGACCCTGGTTTGGGGCAGCTGGTGTGGGTTTTGCTGCCTGTCCTGCTGCTGGATCGTGGCTAGCAACACTGCAGCAGATGCTGCTGCTCCCCTTGGGGACCAGACGATGGCCCCCCGCCATGCTGACATGGAGGAATGTCTCGAGGCTCAGCTGCTCAAGGGACATGTGCACTGTTGCGTGCTCCCATCAAACCCCCTTGTAACTGCTCTCCCCCACCCACCGCCCGCAAGCCCCAAGCTGCTAGCTCCAAAATGGCCCCCCCACTGAAGCCAACACACACAAACAGAGAAGAGCAGGCCTGGCTCTGGCTTACACTTGCGTGCTTTAATCCAGCAGGTTTGCAAACTGAGTTTGCAAAACCTTGAGCGAGGGAGGGGCGGCAGGTGGGGTGAGGGGGGCCCCGGGGGGGGCCGGCGGCC